TAGATGACCCCAGCTAGATGGTTATCTAACCTCCTCTTGAAGACCCCCAGGGTAGGGGGGGAGAGCACCACCTCCCTTGGGAGCCCGTTCCAGACCTTGGCCACTCGAACTGTGAAGAAGTTCCTCCTAATGTCCAATCTAAATCTGCTCTCTGCTAGCTTGTGGCCATTATTTCTTGTAACCCCCGGGGGCGCCTTGGTGAATAAATACTCACCAATTCCCTTCTGTGCCCCCGTGATGAACTTATAGGCAGCTACAAGATCTCTAACTGGTCAAACCATCATATAAAGCAGCATAACAAATTAACGAAGCTATAGTCTGGTAAATATGCAAGGGGCAGAGGGAAGAAGGGGTATCAAGATGTTAACTGTCATAGTATGAGTTCCCCTTGAAGTGAAGGGGTGCCATATGTTAAGCTAGACTGGCAAGGGTACTTAAACATGCCTGGGAAACAGCCTTCCCAGGTACAAGGGAGGGCTGAGTCCCCCAGACAAGCAGTCTGGGGAAACCAGTGTGACAGGAAGATGCAGGAAACCCTGATAGCAAGGGCAGAGGCAGGAATTGCATTTAGACCTCTGAAACAGGGTAGAGACCATATCTTTGGACTTAAGATACAGGGAAAGAACAAGTCAACATTCTGGTATTTCTTTTGTTTATTTACTTAGTTATTTACTTATTTTTCAGGCTGTATCTCAGCATATGGTTATAGGTTTCCTTTGCTTGATTTTTGGGGTTTTTTGGTTATAAACCCTTTTGTTGGTTTGTTTCCTTACTGGTTGCCTGTAGAAGAAGTGACTTCTGGGCAAGTGACATTCCAGGCTGATTCTCTCTACAGAAACTGCGTTATTTCTTCCATAACCCAAAAAACAAGGCCACCTGGGACCAGCACAGATCCCTCACTGGAGCTGCAGAGTCCAGTGTAATAGCAGAAGAACTGAGGTACTGGGCTAGGGATTAGAGAAACTCTCAGGGAAACTTCAGTCTCTTCTTTGGAGTGAGTGGGGTAAAATTTGGGGCTCCCAGGGTCCCTCATGGGCAGGTTCATGACGCCTATTCCTTCCTAAGCATCAAAAAAGGTCAAGTGACATTTCATCCCCTCTATTTGTGATTATGCTTAACCAGTAAGATAACTGGAAAAGGTAAAGAAAACTTAGTTTTCAAGAAAAATTACTACTAGTCTTTGAGAGTAAAAGAATGTGGCTTAAAATTCACAAATAAGCCACTGACCAAAGTTTGTTCTCGAGATAGATTTAGAACATTCTGTTCCAACATTGAAAAATGTAAAACTTACTAAAACAAATTCTATGATTTGTAATCTGGTAGTAGAAATCTCAGTGAGAAAATCTTTGAAATTCTTTAAACATTATGTAATATTTTATCAGGGGTAACTGAGTGCTTGAGTACCCTGGCAGCAGCCAAGCAAGAGGCCATGCTGCTGACAGTGTGTAGACAACATGGTTGCCAGAACAGCTGCTACTACTTTTGAGCCTCTTCCTCAACCTGCACCCTAGGACAGAGCCTATATTTTACATTTTATACCACTCTTTTATCGTAAGGATTGGGTGACATTTTAAATTACTGAAAGATGCAGTGCTCAAGGGCTGCACCTAAACATATGCTTAACTGCACAGTAGACAAATTCGCTGCAGAGTAAAATGTCATAGTCTCCACTTAGACTTATACTTAAGTCTACACTTACACTTATACTTAGACTTCAGGAAGGCCTTCGATACGGTATCCCACCCCATACTGGTGAACAAGTTAAGAGGCTGTGACTTGGATGACTACACAGTCTGGTGGGTGGTGAATTGGCTGGAGGGTCGCACCCAGAGAGTCGTGGTAGATGGGTCGGTTTCGACCTAGAAGGGTGTGCTCAAGGGCTGCACCTAAACATATGCTTAACTGCACAGTAGACAAATTCGCTGCAGAGTAAAGTGTCATAGTCTCCACTTAGACTTATACTTAAGTCTACACTTACACTTATACTTAGACTTCAGGAAGGCCTTCGATACGGTATCCCACCCCATACTGGTGAACAAGTTAAGAGGCTGTGACTTGGATGACTACACAGTCTGGTGGGTGGTGAATTGGCTGGAGGGTCGCACCCAGAGAGTCGTGGTAGATGGGTCGGTTTCGACCTAGAAGGGTGTGGGCAGTGGGGTCCTGCAGGGCTCGGTTCTTGGACCGATACTCTTTAATGTCTTCATCAGTGACTTGGATGAGGGAGTGAAATGTACTCTGTCCAAGTTCGCAGATGACACAAAGCTATGGGGAGATGTGGACACGCCGGAGGGCAGGGAACAGCTGCAAGCAGACCTGGACAGGTTGGACAAGTGGGCAGAAAACAACAGAATGCAGTTCAACAAGGAGAAATGCAAAGTGCTGCACCTAGGGAGGAAAAAGGTCCAGCACACCTACAGCCTAGGGAATGACCTGCTGGGTGGCACGGAAGTGGAAAGGGATCTGGGAGTCCTAGTGGACTCCAAGATGAACA